GTGTTTAGTAAGAAACGGTAAGTGTTTTTCTAGTGTTTAGTATAAAGAGTCAGTATTTTCAGTGTTTAGTATAAAAGAGTCAGTGTTTTAAGTGTTTAGTATAAAGAGTCAGTGTTTTCAATGTTTAGTATAAAAGAGTCAGTGTTTTTCAGTGTTTAGTATAAAAGAGTCAGTGTTTTTCAGTGTTTAGTATAAAAGAGTCAGTGTTTTTTCAGTGTTTAGTATAAAAGAGTCAGTATTTTTCAGTGTTTAGTATAAAAGAGTCAGTGTTTTACTGTATTTTAGCAGTACTTGTAGAGCCATGTTTTTTAACGCTAACTCTCACACAATAATGCAAGTGTTCCTATGAATTCTATTGGGAACGTGTTAATACTGGAAAATACCAACAAACTTTCTCCAAAAGGCACATGAATCTACTTTAGTTACATAAACCTAGTTACTATTGCTATTGGTGAACACACACACATCTTTAAAGTGGTCAAGGGGTCTTCTGTTAGATACACTAGTTACTACTATTGCTATTGGTGAACACACATCTTTAAGGGGTCTTCTGTTAAACATAGTAGTTACTACTGCTATTGATGAACACACACCTTTAAAGGGGTCAAGGGGTTTTCTGTTAGATATACCAGGACGTGTCATTATTCTAGTTGTTGTTTGAAAACTACTTGGTGTTGATGTCCTTTTTGGTGTGGTTGAAGGTTTTCTTGTAGTCGTTGTGGTGGTGGTTGAAGGTTTTCTTGTAGTTGTTGTTGTGGAGATGATTGTTGTAAGGCTGTTGGCTGCTGTGGTGACTCTTGGCACTGTAAATGTGTTTACACTTGATGTAAATGGTTTTTTAGTAACCACCGATGAGGTCACGGTGGACGGAGTGCTGACACCTGTCGTTATGCTCGATTGTTTGTCCTGATTGACAGAGTCAGGCACAGTATTAGCCACGTCATTATGACCACAACAACTGCCGATTAAAATTCCATCTAAACAGTGGTTCAAGTGAACTCCGTCGGTTTGGATACAGTCCCACACAAACATACAAGTCCCTTTTTCTCCGAGGTCGTTAGAACATGGCTTCGGGCGAATTTCTAGACCTGAAGCTATAAACAAAGAGTAAAATAAGTACAAACAGTGCAGGACTACCACATACAGCTACTGTAAAGAGTGAACTAAGTACAAACAGTGCAGGACTACCACATACGAGACGTACTAGGTAAAGAGTAG